GCCGCTTCACAGCCTTGGGGGATTCCAAATCCTAACTGGATTGGTTTCAGCAATTCAGCCGCTTGCTAGCTGACAACCCTCGTAGCAGCCTTGGCAATCAGGCGTCGGAGAGTGTTGCCAACAGCGATTGGCCTGATTCCTTCGTCCTTCTTTTTGAGAGCACAGAGGGAGACACCAAAAAAGAGAGGCCTGATGACCTCAGGTATCTCACCAGCCAGGCACATGTTGACGAACCTTGTGAGTTCCATAAGAAGATCTTGTGCAGCATCACCAACCGCAGGATTTAACATTTGCTTGATATGTTGAGGTTTTAACCCTGTAAAGCCGCCTGCTGACCCAGGTGGAAAAGAAAGGGCTGCTTTGTAGACCTCAGATTCACCTCCTCAGATATATATATATATATATATATATATATATATATATATATATATATATATATATATATATATATATATATCAGAGCCTCACACACACACGAGGGACCCACAGCCCTCACACACACACGAACAAAGGAATATATATATATACATATATATATATATATATATATATATATATATATATATATATATATATATATATATATATTATATATATATATATATATATATATATATATATATATATATATATATATATATATATATATATATATATATATGTCGTACCTACTAGCCAGAACGCACTTCTCGTCCTACTATGCAAGGCCCGATTTGCCTAATAAGCCAAGTTTTCCTGAATTAATATATTTTCTCTAATTTTTTTCTTATGAAATGATAAAGCTACCCATTTCATTATGTATGAAGTCAATTTTTTTTTATTGGAGTTAAAATTAACATAGATATATGGCTGAACCTAACCAACCCTACCTAACCTAACCTAACCTATCTTTATAGGTTAGGTTAGGTTAGGTAGCCGAAAAAGTTAGGTTAGGTTAGGTTAGGTAGTCGAAAAAAATTAATTCATGAAAACTTGGCTTATTAGGCAAATCGGGCCTCACATAGTAGGCTGAGAAGTGCGTTCTGGTTACTAGGTACGACATATATATATATATATATATATATATATATATATATATATATATATATATATATATATATATATATATATATATATATATATGTATGTATGTTGTACCTAGTAGCCAGAACGCTGTTCTTGGCCTACTATGCAAGGTGCAAGGTCCGATTTGCCTAATAAGCCAAATTTTCCTGAATTTATATATTTTTCTAAAAAATTTCTTATGAAATGACCGAGTTGTAAACTGAATGGTTGAGCCACCCAATATATGGTTTGTGTGGGAACCGACCTGTGAGATTTATATTTATTTAATTTATATGAATTTATATTTACGTTAATTTATATACTTCGATAGCAATTTGTATGATGTTAAGTGGACTGTATTTCTGCAATAATCTCAATCTCACAAATCGATCCTCTACACATTAGGGGGGTTTATATTAATTAAATTTATATATATGCAGCCAATCAAACTACAGTATTAGACTACATACATTGAAGAGGTTCCTTATCTTATTTGTACAGCAGGTATAACCAGGATGTAGACACCACATTTTCCCACTTTGAGGTAGCTTCCATCACCCTGGTAACTGATGTACAAAGCATGCTTCCTCGTCTTGACCTGTCAAAAGGGCGCTAGCGGTAAAGCCAGAATCCTATATATGACAGGTATATCAGAGAAAACACTGTACATGGAACCTTAAAGACCTGGCTTAATTACCTTTAGTTTGAGGCTACCACGTGCTCTAACCGGGTCACCCTATATAATGACATTAATGGCCATAAATGAAAGATACATGGGTTTCGGAAGAACACTTAACTTGATTTGTTGACAGCGTGTGATAATGGTACACCTTTGGTTTCCATAACACTTCGTCCAAGTAAAATTAACAGGAGCCGTATTTGCTCCCGTGTGCCTCTGGTCTAGTATAAACAATGGCTGCCCTCCCTCACCCTGACGCCTAGCTTACATTGTCCAGATGTCAATAAGTGATAGAAGGGTCACATTTACTCTACTTTAATATTGATAATTAAGTTAATTTATATGAGATGTTTTTATGATGGTAAAGTCCAAAGACTAATGTATTTAAGAATAATTCCCACCATAATAGGTGGTGAATTATAATAGTGTGTGGTGATGATATCCCGTTTTCTATAGACGGTAATTCCACTACAAGTTACGTTTTCTATGGGTAACTTGTTTATACAATACAGCTATTATCTGTCTGTATGATATATTAAATGCTGTCGGATTTTCCGACAGTTTGTGATAGTAATATTTTATTTTTTTACGATGGAGAAACTTTAAACTAAAAAATGAGGTCGCATGGAGGGATAACAATGTTCAGTAAACAGTTACTGAGTTGTAAACTGAATGGTAGAGCCACCCAATACCTGGTTAATGATAATAGTATTTCACGATGGAAAAACCTTATTCTAAACTAAAAATGAGCTCACATGAAGTGATTTTCACTTACTGAGTTGTTAACTGAATGTCTGAGCTATCCAATACATAGTTGGTGATAGTAGTATTAATTCAAGATGGAAAACTTTAAACTAAACTAAAATGAGCGCACATGAAGTGATTCTCACGTTCATTAAACACTTACTAAGTTGTTAACTGAATGTCTGAGACATCCAATACATGGTTGATGATAACCGTATTAATGACATTGATAATAAGAGGTCTTGAACTAGATACTGGCAGGGGGACAACAAAGCTGTGATATTGAAACGAAACTGAACTGAATTTGAAAATTGATTAATATATGTAATGTGAAGCCAATCTACTGGAAAACAGTAAGCAAACTTTATTTGAAAAGAATATGAGAAGACTGAAAAGCTGTGGGCAAGAAAAATGTTAAAAATAAGAAGTAATGATCTACATAAACATAACATAAGATATCCATGACCGTAATTAATACAGTGTGAACTCTCTTAAACTATGCTCACCGTGAAATCTCGTCACTAGGCATAACTTGTCACTCTGCGAAACAAATTATTGACTATAGTGCGACAGTGAGAATAAAAATGACCACTTATGTTTTGGAGTGCTATTTTAGTCAAGAAATACTGTAAAGGATGATTATTGACTAAAGGGAATTTCGCGGACTGCTGGTGTTTGATGTGTTGAACTGCTTAAAGGAAGCATATTTGCTAGAAAAAATTCCTGTGAAATAATGCGTGTTATATGTTTTGACTATCTAGCTAATAGCGTATTGCCTGGCTAATAATGAAATGTCACATTTTGTCTGACTCACTCAGAATGGAAGCAAGTCGACGAAGAACTTTGTAGGGTAAGGCAGGTCCTAGTCAACAACGGCTTCTCGAATGGTTTCGTCGAAGACATCATAAGAAGGAAAGTGAAACGCCATGCAACCTCTGAAGAGACAACTAACACAACACCTATACCCCCTATTAGACTATTTTACAGGAACTTCTTTTCCACAGCTCATAAAACGGAGGAAAGGGTCCTGAAAGATATTGTTAATAGAAACGTTATCCCTACAGACAAAAATCAGAGTATACAACTGACGATTTACTATAAAACCAGAAAAACGGACAGCCTACTCATGAGAAACTCTCCAGACACAAAGCAGAACGCTTTAAAAGAGACCAACGTCGTCTATGCCTTCAAATGCCCTCTTGGGGACTGTAAGCTCCAAAAAACCCAGTATATAGGCAAGACAACAACATCTCTTTCTAGGCGTTTAACGATGCATAAGCAACAGGGCTCCATTAAGGAACATATAATCTCTTCCCACAACCAAACCATCGCCAGAGAAATCCTAGTAAACAACACAGAAATCATAGATAGATACAGCGATAGCAGGCGGCTTGACGTTTGTGAGGCACTACACATTAAAAAGTCAACACCAGCAATCAACAGCCAATTAATGCACAACTATATTCTACCCACCTCAAGACTCCGCTCCAATATAGAAGCATCAAGAAATATGGACCAATAGGCTTTCTACAATCACTTCTATTCAATACCCATTGTTTCGTGTTCTGTCTTGTGTTGATGAATTTAATACCCTATTAAATACCACCTCACTCAAATGTAGATATAAACAAATCGGAGATGTGTAAGGTCTATTCAGTTGCGTATGTGTAAACTAAAGTCTTTGAAAATGTAATAAGTTTTACGAAACGCGCTCAAGTGTCGCGTCAGACTAGAAATAAAAATGAATTTTGGAGAATTGATTTTTGAATTACCTCCAACAGTGAAAAGAAATGTACGAAAGATCGAGAAAATTCGTGTTAGAATTATTAATCTTACTTTTTCGGTCATATTTAATAATATATGTCTACAGGAAAGACTGCTACCAAAATATACTAATATGTATATATATGTATATATATATATATATATATATATATATATATATATATATATATATATATATTTATATATATATATATATATATATATATATATATATATATATATATATATATATATATATATATATATATATATATATATATATACATAACACTTTCCCATATGAGAGAATCGAACCATGGGCGAGCAGGTGCCAGGCCAGATCATTAACCACAAGACCACCCTCAGATCTTTAAAGGAAGGGAATTAGGGTGGATTTTTCACCACGTAATCCCTCTCCCCAACGACACCAGAGGGATGGCCCCTAATCAGACACTCATATTCTATCAATCATATTTACTAGGGAAGACTCGTGTCTGGAGTATATCACACATTTGCATGAACTCGCAAGGAATTTTTAACAAATAGAACACTTCCCCATATGAGAGAATCGAACCATGGGCGAGCAGGTGCCAGGCATTAACCACTAGACCACCCTCAGATCGTTAAAAGGAAGGAAATTGGGGTGGGTTTTCCACCACGTAATCCCCCTCCCCCAAGGACACCATAGGGAGGGCACCTGTACACATGTTTAGCCAATATCTAGTGTTTAAAATGTTCTCAATAATGAATTGTATTTTCATTCCAACAGCTGACAAGTAATCGCACGAAAATGTCCCTGAACCACTGGAGTACGGACGTCTCCCTCAACTGGGGAGAGAGAACCTTCACCTACCGCGATGAGGTGAGCTTCCCCAGCCTCACCAACTGGTTTGTGAAGATTGAGATCGACGCCCCGGCCTTAAACATGCAGGAGGTGAGGTTTGAGGTGGAAACTTCTGGTGAGGGAGGCGGAGAGCAGGCTGTTCAGGTGGTGTTCCAGGAGGAGAATGTCACTCTTCACAAAGCCAGGTATGTGATAACACACACATACTATTAGCTATACTATCAAGAGATACAATGTTGTATTTCTTTGGTATTTTTTGCGGTAAACATTCAATGTAATGGTGGGGATAGCAGTAGAAGCGTTTTGGTGTTCAAGTTCTGGTCGTGGGATATGTGTGCTAGCGTGGAGCTCAGAACACAGCTGCACATAGTTTCCACCTTTACCACCACCATCCACACATGTGGTACTCACCACCACGCACATATGTGGTACACACCACCACCTACACATGTGGTATGCACCACCACCCACACATGGAACTTGCCACCAGTAAAGAGGGTGGAGGATTAACGAAGAATGTTGATTTTGAGGGCAATCCTCACTAAGATGCCACCACTTTTAAGGGTAAAATTTGTCAGTTAACCTTGTCGCTAAGATGCAACCTGTTTTGGGGAAAAAATTTAAGTCCCCAAATATCCTCGCTGTATCACAAGTGTTAGGGTAAAAGTTCCAGAATCATCGCTTAACCGTTTTTTCGTACAATCATGTCAAGTCCATTTTCAGAGAATAGTTTTATTTAAAGTTTGTTAAAGAATTCTTGTGTAGAAAATATACACTCTATTCTAAACGCCGTCGAGAGTAAAGTTAAAGTCAGATGAAGTCTATTTTCAGAGAATATTTTGATTAATAGTTCTTCCAAGTAATTCCCAGTATCAGATGCTAGTTCATGACCCGGCTCTACACGTTCACTCTTATATCTTCGCTACTAATAGCCCAATTTTCACGGAATTTAGAACATTCATATTTTGAACATAACAAATAAGATGAAAATATTTACGGAGCTCCATCTCTTGTCCTTCCCTCTGGTTTACTTCTACAACTTCGTTATTAATAATCCCATTTCCCAGAAATTTAAAACCGTTGCTTTTCAGACGAAGTAAACGAGAGAAAATTAATTACCGAGCTCCGGCTCTTGGCCCCCGCCTTAGTTTACTCCTACAACTTCTTTACTAACAGTTCAATTTCCCCGAGCTTTAAAACCGTTGTATTTCAGACATAATAAGAAAAAAAAATAGTTACAGAGTTTCAGCTCTAGTCCTCCGCCTTAGTTGTCTCTCGTAAATTCGTAATTAACACCCCCATTTCTCTGAAATTTAAAACCGTTGCTTTTCAGACGAAGTAAACGAGAGAAAGTTAATTACCGAGCTCCGGCTCTTGGCCCCCGCCTTAGTTTTCTTCAATAACCTCCTACTATCATCCCAATCTCCCCGAGATTTCAAGCCTAGTTATTTTGGACGTAGTAAATAAGATCAAAGCTGTTACCGAACTCCGGCTCCTGTCTCCTGCCTTAGTTTACTGTTACAACTTCGTTACTATTAGCCCAATATACACCGAATTTAAAACGGTCATATTTATGACGTATTAAAATACATAAAACAGTTACCGAGTTCCAGCTCTTGTCCCCCGCCTTAGTTACAGTACAAATTAAATAATTACCAAACTCCGGCTCGTGTCCTCCGCCCCTAGTATGCTTGTGCAACTTCGTCAATAACAGTCCACTCCCTGCGAAATTTAATACAGGTATATTTCAGACTTAATAAGAAAAGAAAAGTGTTACCATGTTTTAGTTCATGTCCCCCTTCTTAGTTCGCTCCTGTAAGTGTGTTATTAACAGTTCAATTTTCATAAGATATATAGGGTAGGTTTTTCTTTCATTATAAAAATAAAAACAATTCAGTTTAAACTTCTCCTTACTTCAATATTCGCCAAAACATAATTAAATCTGAACAAGTAAGATAACTCTCTACCGTCGACTTTATCAGAGTAAACACGAATCATGACCTTACCCTCAAGAAAACCTGTGTAAATAAACACTCTCCATGTATTGATAACCTGTCCTAACAGACCCTATCTCTCTCTCCCTCTCACTGTTTCCCTCACTTCTCCCCACTTACGTAGCTCCTTTCTCACCCCCCCCCTCCAACTCTCCGCCCCATATCTTCCCCCTCCGACCCCCTACTTTCCCCTCTCACACTATCTGCCTTAAGCATGCCACCTCCTCCCTCACCCCCCTTACTTTTTCCTAACCCCGCCGCAACTACCTCCCCCTTAATCATCTCCCTAGTGCCCGGATGCTTTCTTATCTCCTCCCTCAACCCCCCCCTACAGACCCCGCACCTTATCTACTCCCTCAACCCCCCCACCTTATCTACTCCCTTAACCCCCAGCCTCCACACCTTACCTACTCCCACAACCCCCCAGCCACCACACCTTACCTACTCCCACAACCCCCACACCTTACCTACTCCCAGAACCCCCCCACCTTACCTACTCCCACAACCCCCACACCTTACCTACTCCCACATCCCCCACACCTTACCTACTCCCACAACCCCCACACCTTACCTACTCCCACAACCCCCCAGCCCCCACACCTTACCTATTCCCACAACCCCCACACCTTACCTACTCCCACAACCCCCACACCTTACCTACTCCCACAACCCCCACACCTTACCTACTCCCACAACCCCCCAGCCCCCACACCTTACCTACTCCCACAACCCCCACACCTTACCTACTTCCACAACCCCCCAGCCCCCACACCTTACCTACTCCCACAACCCCCCAGACCCCACACCTTACCTACTCCCACAACCCCCCAGCCCCCACACCTTACCTACTTCCACAACCCCCCAGCCCCCACACCTTACCTACTCCCACAACCCCCCAGCCCCCACACCTTACCTACTTCCACAACCCCCCAGCCCCCACACCTTACCTACTAATACAACCCCCCAGCCCCCACACCTTACCTACTCCCACAACCCCCCAGCCCCCACACCTTACCTACTTCCACAACCCCCCAGCCCCCACACCTTACATATTCCCACAACCCCCCAGCCCCCACACCTTACATATTCCCACAACCCCCCAGCCCCCACACCTTACCTACTTCCACAACCCCCCAGCCCCCACACCTTACCTACTCCCACAACCCCCCAGCCCCCACACCTTACATATTCCCACAACACCCCAGCCCCCACACCTTACCTACCCCCACAACCCCCCAGCCCCCACACCTTACATATTCCCACAACCCCCCAGCCCCCACACCTTACCTACTCCCTCACCCCCCAGCCCCCACACTTTACCTACTTCCACAACCCCCCAGCCCCCACACCTTACCTATTCCCACAACCCCCCAGCCCCCACACCTTACCTACTCCCACAACCCCCCAGCCCCCACACCTTACCTACTTCCACAACCCCCCAGCCCCCACACCTTACCTACTCCCACAACCCCCCAGCCCCCACACCTTACCTACTCCCACAACCCCCCAGCCCCCACACCTTACCTACTCCCACAACCCCCCAGCCCCCACACCTTACCTACTCCCACAACCCCCCAGCCCCCACACCTTACCTACTTCCACAACCCCCCAGCCCCCACACCTTACCTACTCCCACAACCCCCCAGCCCCCACACCTTACCTACTTCCACAACCCCCCAGCCCCCACACCTTACCTACTTCCACAACACCCCAGCCCCCACACCTTACCTACTTCCACAACACCCCAACCCCCACACCTTACCTACTCCCTCACCCCCCAGCCCCCACACCTACCTACTCCCACAACCCCCCAGCCCCACACCTTACATATTCCCACAACCCCCCAGCCCCCACACCTTACCTACTCCCTCACCCCCCAGCCCCCACACCTTACCTACTCCCACAACCCCCCAGCCCCCACACCTTACATATTTCCACAACCCCCCAGCCCCCACACCTTACCTACTCCCTCACCCCCCAGCCCCCACACCTTACCTACTTCCACAACACCCCAGCCCCCACACCTTACCTACTTCCACAACACCCCAGCCCCCACACCTTACCTACTCCCACAACACCCCAGCCCCCACACCTTACCTACTTCCACAACACCCCAGCCCCCACACCTTACCTACTCCCACAACCCCCCAGCCCCCACACCTTACCTACTTCCACAACACCCCAGCCCCCACACCTTACCTACTCCCACAACCCCCCAGCCCCCACACCTTACCTACTTCCACAACACCCCAGCCCCCACACCTTACCTACTCCCACAACACCCCAGCCCCCACACCTTACCTACTCCCACAACCCCCCAGCCCCCACACCTTACCTACTTCCACAACCCCCCAGCCCCCACACCTTACCTACTTCCACAACCCCCCAGCCCCCACACCTTACCTACTCCCACAACCCCCCAGCCCCCACACCTTACCTACTTCCACAACCCCCCAGCCCCCACACCTTACCTACTTCCACAACCCCCCAGCCCCCACATCTTACCTACTCCCACAACCCCCCAGCCCCCACACCTTACCTACTTCCACAACCCCCCAGCCCCCACACCTTACCTACTTCCACAACACCCCAGCCCCCACACCTTACCTACTTCCACAACACCCCAGCCCCCACACCTTACCTACTTCCACAACCCCCCAGCCCCCACACCTTACCTACTTCCACAACCCCCCAGCCCCCACACCTTACCTACTCCCACAACCCCCCAGCCCCCACACCTTACCTACTTCCACAACTCCCCAACCCCCACACCTTACCTACTTCCACAACACCCCAGCCCCCACACCTTACCTACTTCCACAACACCCCAGCCCCCACACCTTACGTACTTCCACAACTCCCCAGCCCCCACACCTTACCTACTTCCACAACACCCCAGCCCCCACACCTTACCTACTTCCACAACACCCCAGCCCCCACACCTTACCTACTTCCACAACCCCCCAGCCCCCACACCTTACCTACTCCCACAACCCCGCAGCCCCCACACCTTACCTACTTCCACAACCCCCCAGCCCCCACACCTTACCTACTTCCACAACACCCCAGCCCCCACACCATACCTACTTCCACAACCCCCCAGCCCCCACACCTTACCTACTCCCACAACCCCCCAGCCCCCACACCTTACCTACTTCCACAACCCCCCAGCCCCCACACCTTACCTACTTCCACAACACCCCAGCCCCCACACCTTACCTACTCCCACAACCCCCCAGCCCCCACACCTTACCTACTCCCACAACCCCCCCCCCCCAGCCCCCACACCTTACCTACTTCCACAACCCCCCAGCCCCCACACCTTACCTACTCCCACAACCCCCCCCCCAGCCCCCACACCTTAATATTTCTCCGTCACGCATCTAACCTTCTTCACGTCCCCACTCTTTCACTTATTTTCCAAGTTATTTTAATGTTCTATTCATATTTTCCCCATTATACATCTATCTCTATATTGTTATGCTTCTAACCTAGAAGCCATGGTCTGTTCCATGAGGCCTAGTCTCATGGAACAGTCTCTTGTAAAAACAGCTATTTCCAATAATCTTCTTACCATATTTTATCATGACCCAAGTGTAAATGCACAATGTCTCTATACTCTTTGCATGTTCTCACATGTTCCTCACAACTCGTTACTCTTTCTTACAAGATTTCTCCACTCTTTACACGATCTAACATGTTACCTGTCCATCTCAATATCCTTTGTTGCAAGTTTCATCCATCCTATATATGTTCTCTGTGTTCATCAATTTCCCTTACATGTTCTCTGCAAGTTCAATTCATGTTTCCCACAGGTTCTCTGGGTTCTATTCATATTCCTACATGTTCTCTGTTTGTTTCTTAAACCAAATGCACAATTGTACCTGCCATTCAGTAACTAGTTCATTGTTATGTATTATCAACCGCAATACTGTTTCCCAACAAATTTAGTGACAAATTATTTTGTTTGAAATTATTTGGATAACAAATATTTAGTTATTTACAAATTATTTAGGTATTTACAAGTTTATTTAATTATTTACAAGTTTATTTATTTACAAAATTATTTATTACAAAGTATTGATTTAAGTTACAAATTATTTATTAAAAAATATTTATTTAGTCATTCACCAAGTTTTATTTAAAACAAAAAAACTATGACAATATATTTCTGTTTAACAAATTATTTCTTACTAACACTGTTTCTTGAAGTTTCTTGAACAAAACTACGCTTTATTCAGTAACAAATTTACTAAAACAATCTTTGCTAAACGTTTCATAACTAAAGTCACTCTTAACTGAAAACAGTTAAGTGCAACATCTGTACATCATTTTCCCAACTAAAATAACTGTTCTTTCATTCGAAAAAATAGTCAAAGGAATCTTTCATCACTTTTCTCAACTAACATTATATTTCGCGGAGAAAGCAAAATAGTCAAAAGTAATTTTTTTCATAATATTTCTAAACTAAAGTTACTCTATAAGACTGGAGCATAGTTACTCTATGCTCCAATGATACACTCTGAGACATCAAGAATATTCTTCGAGACACCAAGGATACATTCAAAGACTTCAAAGATAAGCTCAAAGACTCCTAAGATAATATTAAAGATATCATAGATAATTTCAAAAACATCAAGGTTATTCTCAGAGACATCAAGCCAAACCACTTGGGCTGGACAGTAGAGCGACGGTCTCGCTTCATGCAGGTCGGCGTTCAATCCCCGACCGTCCACAAGTAGTTGGGCACCATTCCTTTTCTCCGTCCCATTCCAAATCCTTATCCTGACCCCTTCCCAGTGCTATATAGTCGTAATAGCTTGGCGCTTTTCCCCTGATAGTTCCCTTCAGAAACATCAAGGATATTCTCTAAGACATTTTCACTCATTAAAGAAACGTTCTAAGGCCTCAAAGGATACTTATCAAACATTTTTATATAACAAGGCTTTCAAAAACATCTTCTCACATTCAAGGACACTTTCCAGGATGCCAAGACATTTTTTTCATAACACATCTTAATTAAAATGCATCTTTCAATAGTAAAGGGTAACTTTTTGAAGCTATATGTAAACTATAGTTTGTTTTAAACTTACTAAGACTCGTCTTTATTTAGTCACAATCAACTTCTAGTAATATTTGAAACTATTCATGTACAAATTTTCGTAACATTTGTAACATTTCATATTTACATATGTTAGATTAGGCAAAAGTTTTTCTCTTTTATATATATTATTAAGATTTTTTTTTACCAAAGACATTTCTTATAATGTTACTCGTTTATACAATTAATTTTTGTAACTTCGTATTATATTTCTGACAAAGCTTTCCGGCAAATTAATACAGAGGTACTAAGACTAGTATTTTAACAGGATTTAATATGTTTCACATCTCTGTAAATAATAATTACTCTCTCACAAAACACTGTTCTTTAAGTTTTAGTTCAACTTTTCGTAACAAACGTCCATTTATGTTCATTATTTTTTCTGTTTAAAATATTTTCTCTTATCCACTTTATCTTAAACTATTTTCTGAACAACATTACATTATCCTGCCTGACGTAACTTACGTAACTTACCAAACTTAAGTAACATAACTTATTTAAAGCAACTTACTATTCTCTCTGGAAAATCAACTCTTCATTTATTTTTTATTTACCCAGACAACTCTTTAACACTTACAGTTACAAACATGAATTTTAATATCACATTCGCAGACATACACAGACGTACATAAATACCCATGACACATACATTTTTACATAAATTGCATAAATACTTACACAAAAAATGTCAGTCTCAACTACACATACATTTACATTTACAAAATTTTATACAACTTTCACTAATGCTCATTTCTTAATTTTACTTGTACATACAAATTTTCTTAACTTTTTACAATTTCTATTGTACATAAAAATTCTTTACAAACTTATACAAATGCTAACAATTACACTCACAAATTTAAACAAACTAACACAAATACTCAGTTCACTAACTTACACAAACAAACACAGACTTGCACACACACAAATACTCTCAGTTCATTAACTTTATTTAAGCACTTTCTCAAACTTTCACAAGTTCTCTTGTATATACAAACTCTCTCTCAAACTTATGCAAATTATATAAACTTAGTCAAACATGCAAATACTTTCATGTACTATTACAGATCACATGCACTCTGGGACATACTAACACAATTCCCACAAAGACATAGTTACTTAAGAAACTCTTACACAAATAATAATAATTTCAGAACATTACACTAAACGCCTATTTTCTTCATTTCATGCGATATTGTTAAAGATCTGGTGTTTAGGCAATTTCAAGGGATATTGTTAAAGATGGGTATTAAATCATTTCAAGGGTTATTTGTTAGAGATGGGGGTATTTAGTATTTTCCAGGGATTTTGTTAGAGATCGGGTGTTTAAGCATTATCAATAGATTTGTTAAAAATATGGTAAATTTATTGATTTAAATGACACGTTCATTTAAAGGGACATTTGTTAGAGACGGGGAATTTAAGCATTTTCAGAGGATTTTGTTATATATATGGGTGTTTATGCATTTCAAGGGATATTAATTAAAGATTGGGTGCTCAAGCATTTAAAGGATATTTATGAGAGATGTATGTTTTAAGCATTTTGTACATTTTTAATTAAAATTCATCAAGTCTCTCAGAAGTTGAATAACTTCTCACATTTCATATAAGTATTAGATGTAAAGATTTTGTTTAGTCCGCATTTGTTATTTGTTTTTAACATAACCTCTTTCAGATCTTTGTGTATTTATTATGTTTGATGATACGATATAATTTGATAATGATTTGATATCATTTGATATAACAGTGGTCGTTGCCCAGTAATACTGCACGTTATGACCACACTGGTCGTTCCCCACGACACTTGACCAGTAATACTGCACGTTATGACCACACTGGTCGTTCCCCACGACACTTGACCAGTAATACTGCACGTTATGACCACACTGGTCGTTCTCCACGACACTTGACCAGTAATACTACATGTTATGACCACACTGGTCGTTCCCCACGACACTTGACCAGTAATACTGCACGTTATGATCACACTGGTCGTTCCCCACGACACTTGACCAGTAACACTGCATGTTATGATCACACTGGTCGTTCTCCACGACACTTGACCAGTAACACTACACGTTATGATCACACTGGTCGTTCCCCACGACACTTGACCAGTAATACTGCATGTTATGACCACACTGGTCGTTCTCCACGACACTTGACCAGTAACACTGCACGTTATGATCACACTGGTCGTTCCCCACGACACTTGACCAGTAATACTGCACGTTATGACCACACTGGTCGTTCTCCACGACACTTGACCAGTAACACTGCATGTTATGACCACACTGGTCGTTCCCCACGACACTTGACCAGTAATACTGCACGTTATGACCACACTGGTCGTTCTCCACGACACTTGACCAGTAACACTGCATGTTATGACCACACTGGTCGTTCTCCACGACACTTGACCAGTAATACTGCACGTTATGACCACACTGGTCGTTCCCCACGACACTTGACCAGTAATACTGCATGTTATGACCACACTGGTCGTTCTCCACGACACTTGACCAGTAATACTGCACGTTATGACCACACTGGTCGTTCCCCACGACACTTGACCAGTAATACTACATGTTATGACCACACTGGTCGTTCCCCACGACACTTGACCAGTAATACTGCACGTTATGACCACACTGGTCGTTCCCCACGACACTTGACCAGTAACACTGCATGTTATGACCACACTGGTCGTTCCCCACGACACTTGACCAGTAACACTGCATGTTATGACCACACTGGTCGTTCCTCGTAGCAAAGTGCCTCACACCGGCCAAAATAACTAATACTTTATTATGTTGCAAAAATTAATGATCATTTTGTGAAGCAGAAATGTTAATATTGTGATATTTGTGGTTGTTGAGGTTGGTGTTCTTCAAGTACGACTCCGTGGAGGAGATGGCGTGGCGAGCGGGCGCCAAGGACCTCGTCCTCGCCTCTAAGGTCTACAGGGACCTCCTCATCTCCCACACCATAAGTCTTCCTCACGGTGGCTTAGAGGTACATCTTGCGAAACATTTTCATCTCTTTAGTTCCTTATTTAACATATATGACATGTTTATTGATGATTTTGCCGTATGATTTCTGACCATTATCCATTCATGCGACGTAATTAGGACGTTGTGTGAGCTGTTGTTATGACATCATTAACACATTTCATCAGGTTAACTGTTTCATTCCTAACCCATTTTGACGATCAATTGAAAAATGGTGGGATTCTTAAAACACATCAAAATGGAACACTAAATTAAGTTTTGGTGGAATAATATGGTACATCATTGCCCTAGAAAAGTCCTAACAATGATAGTTTAACACCATATAATTTGATAGAGCATAAATAAGACGTTTGGTGTAGACGTTTTTAGTAGACCAGTCAGTCGATCTGTTCACCGAGACTCTTCACGGCCTAGTCAAGAAACACTTGACGACGGTATAATGGACGAATGCTGTTGCTTGTGACAGGAAGATGATGCACGGGATGAGGAAAACCGCCTTCCAGGAGGAAAGAAAATAAAATATGGTAGCACACGCCACCTGAAGGGGGGGGGGGGGGGGAGGGAAAACATGTGTGTGTACTCCACGCACTTGAGGAAAGGGAGGCAGGAACAGAAGTGTTTGTGCAGCACCACGCCACCCTCCTGCAGGCCACACATACTATCCTGACTCACGAGGCCACACACCTCAGAGTGGAGCCTCCACTTGCTTCACCCGCCACACCCTTTTCAGCCTGTTGCCGGCGTGAAGGGACTTAGTGGGCGGCTGCCGGGGTGTGATGCTCATTAGGACGCCTTTTGCTTGGTCCTTTTGAAGCCTTATGCTCCTGTTGCTGTCCTCTCTAATTTTGCAAGTATATTTCCTCTTCCTGTAGTTTCGTTATCCTTCCCCACCACTTCTCCTTTCAGACTGTTCCCTTCCTGCCGACTTTTTGCCATTCTTGAATGTTCTTTCCGATGACTTGTTTTGACGCCGCGTGTTTGGGGAGACACTCTCTCACCCGTAGAACTGCGGTACCCGACGTTGTTGAACGAGGGGACACTTGTATTGTCACTCTTTGCCTTCATTGCTGAGCCCGATCTCGACGGACTGACGGCTCTTAAGGTGACGATTGCAGGGTGTATATCGATGATGCATCCCTGAGGGGGGGGGGGGGGCTGTCTTGTCGGGTGTCCTGTCCTCTAATTGTTGCTCCATAGTGGGTATGATAGCTTATCATAGCTTTTTTTTCTTCGTTAATATACATTTTTCTGACCCCTCCTTTAAGTTCTCAGACTCGTGGGGTGGGCAACCAGGCCCCCAAGTCGAGTCGGACTGTGCTGGAAGGCCGGGCTCTGTAGCCCCCGCTACATTGAGCCCCTGACTATACTACTTCTCAGACTCTCCCGATTACCTCTCTCTGCTCCACTCCCACCTTTGTGGCAGGGTAGAGCCCCAAGCCCCCAGTGGTGACCTCCTCATCACCTGGAGTGGTTCTGTCTCTCGTTGTTACAACTGCACCTTTTACCCCCTCTCTTACTGGGGGTGCACGGCACCGTCACCTCCGTACTCGCACGATTCCTTCTCAATCTCCTCCTTTCCAGGCTTTGTTTGGCCCTGCTACATGGACTTAATATTTTGATCATAGTCCTGTTGACCCTACTCGTCCTGATGATTTATTTCTCCACAAACACTTTGTTGATTCGGTAGATACGTTTGTGACCTTTAGCCCCACCTGTACTGATACCCGTGTTGTTGCAGCACCCTTCTCGGGAAGTGGCTGCCCGCTTACCTTCGTTTTCCTGCCTTTGGGAAACCCCTCTTAGGGTCTCCAAAAATGCGCAGTTGATTGCCAGCATTGGCACAATTGTTCTCCTGCACCATGTTGCGACTATTGACAGGGGAACTGAAAGATTGCCACGAGTATATTAAGTATATCCTGGAGGCCCAAGGCCATTCTGTCCACCAGGTGGATCTTCACTCGACCGCCTCGTGGTCCTCTTCGGCAGCCTCTTCGTTGTGAAGGTCACTTTTGATAGTAGGTCCCTTCCCTCTTCCATCATTCTTGCTGGTTCCAGATGCTCTGTTAAGGAGTACATATCCTCTCCTCGCCTCTGCAGCAGGTGCTGGAGATATGGGCATGGACCCTTCAGGCGCACAAGTGAGGTGTCTCCATGCCCCTTGTATGGAGCCACGGGTAATTCTAAGACAGAGTGCTCCTCTTCCCAAACTCTCTGCATCAATTGCGTTGATGCTCACCCTGCCTTCTCCCGCGCATGTGTGCACTACATATTTTAGGAAGACATCCTCAATTTGAAACATCGCGATCGTTTATCTTTTCCTGAGGCAAGACACCAGGTTCCCAATCTTTCTCTGGTATGTCTTATGCTGGTGTGTTGCGTTCCACTTCTCCTCGCCCTCTCCCACTTTTTCAGTTTCACAACCGTTTCGAGGTCATGGACCCCGTAACCACCACCTCGTCTGCTCCCTTGCATTCTGAACCAGAGGGTCTTAATCCTGCTTCTCCGTCTGGTGTTTCCTTCCTTCCTTTCCAGTCTTCGTTTTCTCCTGTGCCCTCTTTCCCTTCTCGCCCCACTCCTTTTTCTTAGCCTTCCCCTCTATCTCTTGGCCCTCCTCACCGCCTGTCTGTTTGGGCAATTGTCCTTCCTCCTCCCAGCGTTCTTCATGTTGACAGTTCTCGTTCTCCTTCTCCTGTTGAGACTGTAGAGACTGTCACCCAGTACATTGCTGATGGTACGCCTGTCTCTCTACACCAGACACATAAGCCTGGCTCCTCTCATTCTTCTTCCCTGGCGGGTAAGAAGGCATCGCTATATTCCACGCCATCCGCCTCCGATACTATCCTGCATCCACTCCCATTTCAGTGACAAGGGTCACCTTTACCTGCTATGAAGGTTTCCTTGGTCCTTGATCCTCTCTTGGATTCTGCCCTTGCTCCGTGCCCTTACCTGTTTCTGTCCTTTCTGCCCCGATTCCCTAGATCGCCCCTCTCCGCTGCCTCCTCTTGCTGCAGACCATGCCAGTTCGCCTCTGGTCTGTCCTCCCGCTCTCTTGCCTCCATTATCTTTTCTATCTTTACCTATGCCTCATCACCTTGATTTCACTGATCCTGGTCCTAATCTCCCTTAATCTACTGTGTTCTTCTTTGCCTTTGTTTCTCCCTTGTTATTGCTGTTTCTATTCTCTCTTTTTTGTCTGTTCTTCAATGGAATATTCGCGGTTTTTTATGCCAACTTCCAGGAACTTTAACTTCTGATCAAGCAGCTTTCACCGCTTGTGTTTGTCTCCAGGAGCCGATGCTTAGCGCTCTTCCTGGTCGCTTCTGCGGTTATTCCTTTTTCTCTCTTTCCCTCAGCTCTTGCTGAGGCCCATAACTGAACTGTTCGCTTGAAACGCGTAGATGTTCCCTTTGTACCCCTACTTTTTCAGTCGCACATTCAGTGTTCTGCAGCCCGTATCTTTGTGAGTAAATGGTATACAGTCTGTTCCATTTATCTCCCCCCAAATGTCCCACTTTCTCTTCCTGAATTTAAGCACCTGTTGGACTCCTTACCAGAGTAGGTGCTCCTTTTGGGTGATTTTAACTGTCGTCATATGCCCCTCTGGTGTGATGTTCTGACGAACACCCGGGGCCGCCTTCTTGAACCATTTGTCCTCTCTTCTTCTGTCTCTTCTGAATTCTGGTGAACCCACTCATGTTGACTCCCGCACTCACACCCTCTCCTGTCTTGTTCTTTCTCTCTACTCATCTTCTCTTTATTTAGACTTCACTTGGGGGGTTCTTGATGACCTCCATAATATTTTCCCATCCTTGTCTCCTCTTTTCCCGCTCTCCTCTCCGATCTCTCTGAACTGCATCTGTCCCATTGGTCTCACGAGATATGTCTGCAGACTCTTTGAGCGTATGGTCACTGTCCCTCCGCTGTGGTTCTTTGAAAGCTATCACCTTCTCTCCCCTTCTCAATTTGCCTTTCGTAAGTATCGTAGCACGACTGATGTTCTCATGAACTTGGAAGTATATATTCGTACTGCCTTTGCTGCGAAGACCTCCGTTGTTGCTGTCTGTTGAACCTGGAAAAGGCGCATAACACCACCTGGAGATACAATATTCTGTCCCAATTCCGTTCATTTGTCCTTTGTGGTAATCTCCCTCTCTTCCACCAGAGCTTCGTCTCTCGTCATTCCTTTAGAGTGATGCTTGGTACCGCTCCCTCTGCCTCTATTCGTCAATATGAAGATGTGTCCCAAGGTAGTGTTCCAAACTGAATTGAACAATCAAGGGAAAGCGCCAAAGCCATTACGACTATATAGCACTGGGAAGGGGTCAGGATAAGGATTTGGGATGAGACGGGGGGGAGAGGGGGAGGGAATGAATGATGCCCAACCACTTGGACAGTCGGGGATTGAACGCCGCCCTGCATGACGCAAGACTGTCGCTCTACCGTCCAGCCCAAGTGGTAGTGTTCAGTGTTCACAACTCTTTTCCTGGTTGCCCTCAATGGTCTTCTTTCCTCCCTTCCCTCTAACATTTTCTCCGCTCTTTATGTTGACGATCTTACCCTCTGCTGTCAAGGTGATGACTCGCCTTTCCTCCAACGGCGGCTTCAACTTGCGATTGATGCCGTGTCGTCCTGGGCCACCAATCATGGCTTCAAGGTCTCTACAGCTAAGACTTGTGCTATGACCTTTTCTCAGAAGCAATTTGATCTTCGACCCCCCTCTGTCGCTCTATGTTAATCCTCTTTTGTAAAAAGATTCTGCTAAACTTCTGGGGTTAATATTTGACACTCGTTTTCTTGGTCGCCCTCTATCTCATACCTCCGTGTTGAATGTTCTAAGGCCCTTAACTTACTTAATTTCTCGTACCATAGTTCGTGGAGAGCTGATAGGCACACGCTCCTCTCTTTACTTCCTCTCTCTCTCGTGCTGTCCAAATTCGATTATTGCTGTCCTGCTTACTCGTCTGCCTCTCCATCCACCCTTCGTCGTATTGATGATCTTCACCATTCTGGGTTATGCCTCAGCTCAGCGCCTTTCGTTCGAACCCCTACCACAAAGCCTGTATGTTGAAACTGCGTCCTGTCTCTACAGGATCGCCGTGATCGCCACTGACTTCGCTATTTTGCGCGGGCTCTACAACACTTTCACTCATGCTTATGTCGTACTTTAACCATTAACCCTCATGTGGGCTCTTTTCCCTTTCAATTTTTTCCCCTTTCTACACAGTTGAAGGGATGACAAGGTTATCTCTCGGTTCGTGTTTCCAATGTTTCTTCTCGTGTCGTGCCGTCCTTGCCACCATGGAGGGGTCCCCTTTCCTAAGTTTTTGTAGAACCTTGACCCACATAACTAAAGCTTTTACTCCTCCTACAGTTCTGAAACGCCTTTTCGTTGCCCACTTTTCTTCACACTCCCGCTCCATCTCCGTCTTCACAGATGGGCCTAAGTCTGTTGGTGGTGTAGGCTACTTCGTTGTATTTCCTGACTGTGCCTATATGTGTCGCCGGCCTGCGGAGACTAGCATCTTCATGGCATAACTTTATGCCATTTTCTATGCTCTTCGTCAACTGCTTTCTTGCCGTAAATCTTCCTTTGTTGTTGTAGTTGACTCTCGCAGTGGCCTCATGGCTCTGGAGTCCTTTATCCTGGGATGCTGCCGCGAAAGAGGGGCTATCCGCACCTGTCTCATTTTCCGCAAAGGTGTTCCATATTTCGACTCTGTCTGTTATTCATTCATCAATCCATACCCGTTGACAGGGTCGCTGGTCTACTGTTACTGGTAATAATCTGCGTGCTATTAAGAGTAGTGTGTCTCCATGGCCTTCCTCCTACCACCTTAACCGGCGGTGGGAAACGCCTCTGGCGAGGTTATGTATTGGCCATACCCGTTTAACTCACAGGCACTAAATGGAGCGCCGCTCTGCTCCTTATTGTCCAAACTGCATTGTTCCTCTTACGGTCATGCATATCCTTGTTGAATGTCCTGACTTCCAGGCTTCCCGACTGTCCCTCGCGGTCACCTGTCCCTAGTTAGTTTCCTTGGTGAATTGGATACCCTTGATGTTGTTCGTTTGATACGCTTTTGTTCTTGTATTGACATCCTTGGGGATATTTAGCGCCTTTTAAATATCCTGCACATTTGATTGTGTTACACAGTCTCCTCGTCTTAATGCCTTCTTTTGATAATTACTTACTTCACACACTACACAGCCTTAACTTGCCTGTGTCAATATGAATGAAACTCAAAATGGACTGGAGGTCACGTGGCTTCTGGAATAAGTGTCCCGACAAAGAATTATGGTGTAAATGTAAATTATACCTCACTTAAAGAGATAGACAACACCAGATCTGAGTTCAAAGAGTAGTGGATCTCTTCTTTCTAAATAACTTTCAATGGTGTTATTGTTAGTAAACACGAACTGGAAACTAATTTGCGGATAAATATGTCCAAAAATATTCCAAAGTTCCTTCCTAATGTAATAACTTATCATACATATATATGAAAATTTGAGAGGTGAATGAACCTCTGCCCATATTTTTCTGCCTCGGCCGGGAGTCGAAGGTTGAATACAGGACTACAGCCCATTCTCATAAACAAAGGCCAAAGTCCATTCCATGCCCCCGCCAAACGGTTTACAGACGACTCTCAACTGATGTCATTCGAACACTTCTCGACAAGTGCTTCGCTGACGACTTTTGTTCGACCCACAACGTTGTAAATGCTTCACCCACGTACTGCAAATACAAATAACCGCCAACAGAACCTAAACACAACCTAACCAATGCCTAAATATGCACAGTATGCTAATATATAACAATATTATAAGAGCAATAACAGTAATATAAATTAAATTAGTATAACAATATTAATTTATATTTGCGAAAATTCCTTTTTTGAATGAACACCATGTTAAGATTAATGAATGCGTCTTTGGGATCGACTACTAGATGGAATGGACTTAGTCTGAAGACGGGTTGACCACTTCCGTGATTATACTAATGTAATTGTTCTTGCTGAGGTTCAGCTTCGGCTATTTGGTCCTGCATTTCAACTGTCAGTCAACTGGTGTGCAAGTGTGTGTGTGTGTGTGTGTGTGTGTACTCACCTAATGTGTGTGTGTGTGTGTGTGTGTGTGTGTGTGTGTGTGTGTGTGTGTGTGTGTGTGTGTGTGTGTGTGTGTGTGTGTGTGTGTGTGTGTGTGTGTGTGTGTATAGACTTGAGCAAACAAAATAGATTAAATATTCTGCTAATAATTGGAAGGCCGTAGAGAGGCCGCTACAGACCGACAGCCAGAGCGCAACTCCATAGTCTCGTGAGACTGATGGAAGCCTTCTACTAATTGTAAGTTATATGGTACATATAGTTATCTATAGTTATATAGTTATATGGTTGTGTTGATCAGATAGTGAGCAACATGACGGTGGGCGAGACTCCAGTGATCGGGGTGGGCGTGAAGGTGACCCCACACACGCGAGCCCTCATTCTCTCCGTCTGCACCACCGGTGACGAATGTGTTCGTCTCCACGCCCACGCCCACGCCCAGGCTACGCCCTCAACCAGGACCTACTCCTTGGCTGCTCATGCCCTCAACTCTCTATTTTGGCGGAGCCCGGAGGACCCTCTCGTGCAAAACTCCGTCACTTTCATGGCCGAAGAAACAGTAAGTTGCAAAAAAGAGTCTTTGGATTCATTGTCTTTCCCACGCATCAGTTGTCATAGACCATTTGCAGGTTATAACAAGTTACCTTTCCATTGTAGGAGGATACCTAATGTTTGGTCAGGTTCATTGTATTTATCGTCAGGTTACATGAAATATTTTGAAAACTCTTAACTTATAACGTGCAACATTTATGGACAATATTGAGAGGAATGTTGTGGCTGAAGCCTGCCCATGGATCACCCAGTCAAACGTTTGACAAGACCTTGAGTTTCTGCTCTAAAAGAGGTCGTGTGTGTGTGTGTGTGTGTGTGTGTGTGTGTGTGTGTGTGTGTGTGTGTGTGTGTGTGTGTGTGTGTGTGTGTGTGTGTGTGTGTGTGTGTGTGTGTGTGTGTGTGTGTGTATGTGTATGTGTGTGTGTGTGTGTGTGTGTGTGTGTGTGTGTGTGTGTGTGTGTGTGTGTGTGTGTGTGTGTGTGTGTGTGTGATGTCAGAGAACAATGGTATAACACCCTCAGACGCTGTGTGCACCCCTGCTCCAGTGTCAGCAGATGGTCAGTACATCTCAGAATGTCAGGAGATGTTCAATATAGTGTGTCATAACGTCAGGAATTTGTAACGTCTCACTGTGTAATGAGTGATAAAGTTTCAACAGCGCTGCTGCCATGTGTAACGGGAGCTGATGTCACCTTTTAACACTTACTGCGAGGTCAACCATACCTTCACACTTTATTCTCCTTAATTATTATTCTTAAATTGAATGTGTACAACATGAACAAGACTGAAGGCACAACCTGGCAGTGGAACAAAGCCCAGCAGGACTCATACAATGTGAGAAAACCGAGGGTATAAATAATTATTTCGATGTTAATTAAAGCAAGGATAATTATCTAAGGCTGGTAAATGATGTTAACTGCTGCCTTCACTCATCAATTATGAAACAATTATACCTTATTTTCCTTACTTAATTAAGTAAGGAGATTAACTAATTCGTATACCTAATTCTGAACATATTCAGGACAACAGGGGCCAGCAAAGAACTTAGAACATTTTGACAATTACGATCTGAAATACTAATTAATACTTCTTGTTGATAATTACAGGGGGTTAATTATAATTGCAATTATTGTCATTCAGAGAATCGCATGAAATATTCAAGACAACTCAAGGTATATGCTCACAGATGGAATAAAAAGATAAAATTTACTTAAAATGAGAAATTCAATTCAATAAATAATTTAATATAAATCAATGAATCCCATCTATATATATAAAAATGTAAATGTTCGTTTGTTCAATATCGCTGATCTCCGAAAGTTCTTTACCGATTGCTTTGAAATTTTCACATAATGTTCCATTCGCATCCGAGCAGGTTTTTATATACATACTATATAGATGTCACGTCTGTGACGGGAAAAAACATGCTTTTTTAAAAACTGTGTTTTTCATTTGAGGGAAATCTTCTAAACCTCTTTGCCGATTGCTTTGAAATTTTGACACAACGTTGTATTCAAATATCCGCGTGTTTTTATATGCCTACTATATACATGCCTCACCTATGACAGGAGAAAACATGCTTTTTGTAAAACAGTGCCATCTATTGCACGTTAGAGCAACCCATTCTGTAATCTCCAAAAGTCCTTCACTGATTGCTTTGAAATTTTGACACAACGTTCCATTCGAATACACGTATGTTTTTATATACCTACTGAATAGATGCCACACCTGTGACAGGTAAAAACATGTTTTTTTTTTTAAACAGCACCCTCTGTTGCATGTAATAGCAAAACACTATACTAAATATGTTACAATTTCATTTCACTGTTTCCAATTGCATTGATAAACTAAATTTTCATAGATTTCGACTCATTTTCATTTTGATTTAAATATTTTGCGTGGCATGGCGTTGGAATTGAGCTGTGTTATTTACCATACCGTTCATTTCGTGAGTTTAAATATAGATGCCACACCTGTGACAGGTGAAAACATTCTTTTTTTAAGAAACAGCGCCACCTGTTGCTCATAAGAGCAACACACACTATTCTAAATATGTTATGATTCCATTTCAATGTTTCCAATTGCCTTGAAAAATTTAATTTTTATAGATTTAAATTTATTTTTATTTTTATTTAATTATTTCATGTGATATTGCTTTCGAATTGAGCTGTGCTGTTTACCATACCATTTATTTTACGAGTATAAGTACAGATGCCACACCTGTGACAGGTAAAAACAGGCTTTAAAAAAAAAGCCCCATCAGTTTCACGTATGAGCAATACACGCTGTACTAAATATGTTACAATTCCATTTCAATGTTTCGAATTTCATTGATAAATTGAACTTTCATACATTTTGATTTATTTTTATTTTTATTTAATTATTTTGTGTGACATTACGTTGGAATTGAGGCATGTTGATTACCATACCATTCATTTTGTGAGTGTAGTTTATTTGTTTATTTTTTCATTATTTTTCATTTCGTTTTTTTCCTGTTTTTCTTATATCTCAGTGATGGGAATATCAGATCATTTGATGTTCCCAGTTTTCTTATGGGAACATCAGATCATTTGGGAATGCCTCAGATGAGGGAGTGGGGAATGGTGGGGAGGACGAGGGGACGGGAGTGGGGGATAATAGGGAGGACGAGGGGACATGGGAAGGGGTATTGGTGGGAAGGACAAAGGAACGGGGGAGTTGGGGATGATGAAGACGAGGGGACAGGGGAATGAAGAAAGGTGGGGAGGCCAAAGGGACTGGGAGTGGGGGGATGGTTGATAGGACGAGAGAACGGGGAAGGGGGAATGGTAGGGAGGATGAGGGGACGGGGGAGTGGGAGATGGTGAGGAGGAGGACGAGGGGACAGTGGAGTGGGGAATGGTTAGGAGGTCGAGGGGACGGGGGAGGAGGGAATGGTGGGGAGGACTGGGAGACAAGGAAAGGTTGCTGTGGCTCAGCATGTACGGCTAGTTCTAAATAAACATCCTATCATTAGAAGTTAATGATGTGAGGATTTTCCAATCAACACATAACTCAGTCACATTGTCTTTGATCTGCAACTAATCCAAGTTGTTATCTCATCCACTGTGAGTAAGATCTGCACCACCACTAGTCCACAGGTTATCCTCCTGTGGACAAGATCTGCACCACCACTAGTCCACAGGTTATCCCCCTGTGGACAAGATCTGCACCACCACTATCACACAGGTTATCCCCTGTGGACAAGATCTTCACCACCACTAGCACACAGGTCATCCCCTGTGGACAAGATCTGCACCACCACTAGCACACAGGTCATCCCCCTGTGGGTAAGATCTGCACCACCACTAGCACACAGGTCATCCCCTGTGGACAAGATCTTCACCACCACAAGCACACAGGTCATCCCCTGTGGACAAGATCTGCACCACCACTATCACACAGGTTATCCCCCTGTGGACAAGATCTGCACCACCACTAGCACACAGGTCATCCCCTGTGGACAAGATCTTCACCACCACTATCACACAGGTCATCCCCTGTGGACAAGATCTGCACCACCACTAGCACACAGGTCATCCCCTGTGGACAAGATCTGCACCACCACTAGCACACAGGTCATCCCCTGTGGACAAGATCTACACCACCACTAGCACACAGGTTATCCCCCTGGGGGTAAGATCTACACCACCATTAGCACACAGGTCATCCCCCTGTGGGTAAGATCTGCACCACCACTAGCACACAGGTCATCCCCCTGTGGGTAAGATCTGCACCACCACTAGCACACAGGTCATCCCCCTGTGGACAAGATCTGCACCACCACTAGCACACAGGTCATCCCCCCTGTGGGTAAGATCTGCACCACCACTAGCACACAGGTCATCCCCTGTGGACAAGATCTTCACCACCACTAGCACACAGGTCATCCCCCCTGTGGGTAAGATCTGCACCACCACTAGCACACAGGTCATCCCCTGTGGACAAGGTCTTCACCACCACTAGCACACAGGTCATCCCCCTGTGGGTAAGATCTGCACCACCACTAGCACACAGGTCATCCCCTGTGGACAAGATCTGCACCACCACTAGCACACAGGTCATCCCCCTGTGGGTAAGATCTGCACCACCACTAGCACACAGGTCATCCCCCTGTGGGTAAGATCTGCACCACCACTAGCACACAGGTCATCCCCCTGTGGGTAAGATCTGCACCACCACTAGCACACAGGTCATCCCCCTGTGGGTAAGATCTGCACCACCACTAGCACACAGGTCCAACTCACACTAAATAAGAAATCCTGACCCATAGCTAGATAAGGCTGGGCCTCTTAAGGCACTAGGCCTTCTGTAGCTTCACCAACAGGCCTCCTATACCAATGGAGTAGTAGGCCTGCATCTGAAACACCCTCTTGACCAATGAACAACTAGGCCTAGTCAAAAGAGACTGGCATGCAAGGGCCTACCACCAATAACCAGGCATACAGGGACGTGGCTTTCCCATGAGAATCTCCGGGACAGTGAAAACTGCACCTTCAGGAACAAATTTATCCCGCTCCAATCATTGCCATAACATAGACCTGTCAACTATTGTCATAACATAGTCCTGTCAATCATTGTCATAACATAGTCCTGTCAATCATTGTCATAACCTAGACCTGTCAACTATTGTCATAACATAGTCCTGTCAATCATTGTCATAACATAGTCCTGTCAATCATTGTCATAACATAGGGGAAGAGGTCATGAGGCCAGAAACAGGTCGACACATGGCCCACTGGCACGGCCAGACACACGGCAAACTGGCACGGCCAGACACATGGTCCACTGGCACGGCCAGACATATGGCCCACTGGCACGGCCAGACACACGGCCCACTGGCACGGCCAGACACACGGCCCACTGGCACGGCCAGACACACGGCCCACTAGCACGGCCAGACACACGGCCCACTGGCACGGCCAGACACATGGACCACTGGCACGGCCAGACACATGGACCACTGGCACGGCCAGACACACGGCCCAC